TCAAAATATTATTTAAAAAGGAACACAACCCTAGCAGAATAATAAGCTGAGATTTTGAAAAAAGTCTAGGCTGACTTCTATCTTTTATATGTAGAGAATGAAAATGACAAATAGTATATTCTTATTAACATATTGGCCCTCTATGGATACAGAGAATGAATGAAACTGTCAGCTTCTGTTTGTCTTCTCTGACATGAAGAATGATCTATATACAGACTAATACAGCAAAAAGTAGGAGAAATAATAGGAAAAAATTGAAGCCCAACACTGGGGAGGAGATTGTACCAGAACCTCTCACTGCTCTGAACAAATTAATATCTCAGAGTCAGAACTGAGAAGATTTGTTAATATCTTTGCTGAACTGTAATTTTTGTTTTTTTTGGAAACGGGGGATTGAACTCAGGACCTTGCGCTTGCAAGGTAGCCAGCCGGCAGCACCACTGAGCTACGAATTCTAATCTTGGAGTAATTATGGCAAATATGAAAACTTATAGACAGTGGAGGTGTAAAGTTCCAAAAAGGATGTAGCAGCCTTAGATTTTAATAAATTGATGTAAATCTCTACAAACAACTCTAGAGATCAAAAAGATTTACAGATATTTACAAAAGACAAGATGAACAGTAAAGGTTATGCAGAGTCTCTAAGAAGAATTCATTCCAGATAACTCAGTTCCCACTTTTGACAGGATCGCACACCTGCGTGTTAGCAGAATGCCTCAGCCATGTATAATACATGTCTAAATTTCCATGGTATATTTGGCAGTCATTCTGTCACTATCTTTGGGACACAAAGGAGAATTGGATTATACATGGCTGCTGTTACTAAAGAGCACAACTCAATTTTACCTTAAAGTCATTGGCACCTTGGTGGGAAATCTCTTAGAGGCTGCTGTTTTTTACCCTGCTACACTGAGCACTTTTAACACCTCCTCCTCACTTCTCACTCTCAGCTAGTAACCTTGTTTATTTCACCAAGAAAATAGAAGCACTGAAACAGAACTTCCTGGTCTACTGCCGAATATTCTAATCTTCCTGCATCTGTACTCATGTATTCTGACACCCTTCTTATCCTGTTAGAGACCTGTCACTGTTCTTCCACTTAGACTTTGGATTCTCTTTATTTTGCCTTTGTTTTTATAGAAATCTCCCCCCGCCCGCGTTACTGGGAATTCAAACCAGTTGCACCCCCACTTTTCATATTGAAACAGGGTCTCACTGTGTCCCTAAGTTGTTCAGACTGAACTCAAACTTTGATCTTCCTGCCTCAGCCTCTCAGAGTAATGGGATTGTAGGTTTGTGCCACCATACAAATATCTCTTTTCATTCTAGTTTTTTAAAATATATTTTTTTCCTCTGTTGGAACAACAGGTTATACCTCAGCTTACAAACATTCTCCAACGTCAGTCTTTTTAAAAAAAATTTCATATCTGAAGCCCCTCAAGCGATTCCCCATTTCCTTGTATACTTTATGTCAGAACTTCTCAAAAGAGCTGTGTAGACTGCTTGCTTTCATTTCTTCATTACTCTTTCCCAATCCCCTGACTGTTTTTGATGTTGTCAGGAATTTCCGTATAGCTAAACCCAATGGTCAATTCTCAGTCTTCCTATCCTCAGTCACTTAGGAATATTTTGTATGATTGTTCACTCTTTTCTGTCTCACATTTTCTGTGTTTGCTCCTGGAGATACCCTTCTGATTTTTCTCCCACATCACTTGTTATTTCTTCTTTCCTCCTGTGCTGGATCTTCCTCTCCCTGCTTCAGTCATGCTTAGCCCAGGCAGGGCTTGGTTTCAGACCTATACTCATTCTCAGAGTTACCACCATTCATTATGGCCTCACTGGCCACATGTAGCTTTTGTCAGCTGTGTCAGATAGCAGGGATTACATAACAGTCCCATCATCTCAGCAAGTTCTTTTGGACAGCACTGCTCTGGGTTATTTCACCCCCGCTGGTCTCCTGGCTTTAGGAATATACCTACATGCAGAGGATTCTCCAGTCAGTTCACCAGTTCTAGCCTCCCAGCTTGAACCCCAGTTTTGTATCTCTGGCTGCCTATTTGACATCGTATACTTGGTTTCCAATAGACCTGGAAACGTAACATGGCTGAACTGGAACTCCATTTTCCTTGCTCTCTGTCATCTTACCTACCAGTAAGCAGTACTGTTCTCACAGGCGGGAAAACCTTGTAGTATTTTTTAGGGGGTGCATTCTGAGGAAGAAATATTTCTAGGGAAGAACTTCTATTTCCTCTTTTCACATAGTATTCCAGTTCCTGAGAAGTAGGACTGAATGACTTTTCTCATTCTGTCTGTGTAGTCACTCTTGACTTCTTCATCTTTTGCATTTAATATCCAATACATCAGGAAGATATTATCTCAGTACCTTGAAGTACACATTTTTCAGATGCTCGCATGACCTGTTTTTCAAAATTCTCTTCAAGCTTTTGCTCAACGTTTACCTCTTCAGATCTACAGGAGCGCTATATCACTCTGTATACTTACCCTGTTCAATTTTTTTCATAGCACTTAGCACTGCCTGGCATAACATATATTTTTGCCTTTATCTACCTGACTAAAATCCATGAAGGTAGAGATTTTAGGTTTGCTCTGTACTCAATGCCTGAAATAATAGCTGGTATATAGTAAATACCGAACGTTTGTTGAATTACATGACATATTGATGATATTTCTAATGCTATAAAACTAAAATTTGATGCTAATATATTAAAGCAGGATTTTTATTGTTTTGGGTTTTGCTGTTGTTATTTTGTTTGTTTTTATTTTACATTTTACCAGTCACTGTATGAGAATAAGTAATTATTTTTCTAAGAAGGTGATTTATTTTATTTATTTATTTATTTTTGGGGGGTACCGGGGATTGAACTTGGGTCCTTGCACGTGCAAGGAAGGCCACTGAACCGCTGAGCTAAATCCTATGATTTATATTTTTATAGGTATTTGTATTATACTTTTCATTTGGGATAAATGTTAAAATACAAATATTCTAGAAATATTGCTGGGGCAAGTTTTATTGTTACAGTTGTATTGGAAATGGAGAATTATTCTACGTTGAAATTTAAAGTTTGGCATTATAACAATAAAAAGGCAAAAGATAGTAAGATGGGGTCCTTGGCCTTAAGGAGCTTATGACTTCATGAATAAGATAGTTACGTAGATAAGTAACTACAGGGTATCAGTACAGTTTGGAAACAGACAGAAATATGTATAATGCCCTATTGACATTTTAAATCTATTAAAAGATATTTACAGTTCCAGACTTTATGAACACCTAGTGTAATTTTGAGTGACAAAAATTAGAATATAGTTGTGTATAAAGAGAGTTGGGAGAATCAAGAAGGGCACAGCTGCCTCCTGGTATTAGAATTGTTTTGTGGATAAAATGAAATTCCACAGATATCCAAGCTGGGCTTGCAAACACAGATATGAAGAAGCCATGCCAGTTTAAGAACATTTTAGAAATCCATCAATTTGGCTTAGGAGATGTCTCTCAATAAAATAGCAAAACAGTTCTAGTTTGCTGCTAGCTTTCAATTCTGTAGCCACACTGAATTAGCTGGAATCATTTAAACATTGTAAGCATGTAAACATTGTAGGTTTACTTTGCAGTAGTCCAAAATAGAGGATATTATATAAGAATAATTAATAGAATACTATTTTTAGACTCATAATTTGACTAATAATTTCCTTTTCCATAATTTTATTTATTTTAAAAATTAATTGTAGTGGTACATTTTAGATACACATAATGATCACATTCATCATTTGTACCTGTACATAGTATATCTTGATTCTTCTTTTTTCCCCAGCTTCCTTCCCTCCCTTCAACCCTTCTTTCCCTCTTTATTTACAAATAATTTGTTTCCACTTTTTTTCCTTCTCTTCTTATGTAATTTTATTTATTTTTATTTATTGGAGGGGGTGACACAGTCTCACTATGTAGTTAAGACTGACCTGGAACTCACTGTGTAGCCCAGGCTGGTCTTGAACTCACAGCGATCCTCCTGCCTCAACCTCCTGAGTGCTGGGATTACAGGCTTGTGCCACCACTCCCAGCTTCTTCTTCTGTAATTTTAGAGTTAAGAACATATGCATGATTTTGATTAGCCTGAGAGGCAGCAGAAACATGCATGAAAGGAATCCCACAGCTGTTCTGTGTGGTTGAATGGTTGGTACTTTGACCACTGGTGCTGGTCCATGGAGTGAGCAAAAGCTAGCCTGTGCTTTAGCAATGGTGTGTCCTGATGTGAACTGCACCCACTGGGAATAGGTGTTTTCCTAATTTACACAAAACTGTGTGTCTATCATAGCTCTGTGCCATTTCCTGCCTGCTTTATCCTGAAGTACCTATCAGTGTGGTTTAGGAATTGTTTGCCTAGCTGTAAAGAACTTGACTGTTCTTCAGATTTGAGCATTTATTTATGAATTTTTGATACCAGGGATCAAACTCAGGACCTTGCCTTGGTGAGGCAGGAGGTGGAACCACTGAGCTAAATCCCCAGCCCTCATAATTGAGCATTAAAAAAAAAGTCACTCTTTTCAAAAAAACTTATGATTCGAAATAAACTTTTGTAACTGTAATAAGGAAATATTTGTCATGTTTCTTCCTGGTAAAAACTACAGAGAAGAGAAAAAAACAGGTAAGTAAAGGGAAGGATTTTGTTATTCCAGAAGCAGAAACTTTCCTTTAGTATTCTAGAAATAGTTTTTATTGCATCGTACACAAAAGATGAATTTATTAGAGAGTTCAAGGATATGACACATGGTGTTAATTGATCGTTGTTTGGTTTTCGTATTTAGAGTTCTCATATATCGTCTAATACCTTTCACCCCATGCCTTAGTCCCTTTCCTCATCGTTGGGACACAATACCCAAAACCCACAGTTTAAAGGAGGAGAGGTTTATTTTAGCTCACATTTTGGTCCACAGTTGGCTGGACCTAAGGCAGAATGCCACGGCAGAGGTGCTCACCAGAGAAGAGATGAAGGGAGCTCTTCAGTATGGGGGTGGGGGTGGAGCAGAGAGTGCAAAGGAAAAGCTGGGAAGGAAGATAAACCCTTCCAGGCTTTGCCCTCAGTGACCTGCCTCTTCAAATTGGGCACCACTTCCTAATAGCAAGCTAGCTGTAAGCCTCCATAATCCAATTAGCTTCTAAAAGCCTGCCTATGAGTACATGAGGCTCTTAGGGGCTATCTCTATGTAAACCATAACACCCCAATGGGAGCAGAATAATTTGGCTACCCATAGGAACTTTGACATGACTCTTTCTTGGTGTATTTAGGTGATATTCAACCACCTCCTAGAATCCAGTGTTAAGAAGGCTGATACCAGTATGATTATCTTTGTAGTTAAATTGTGCCTCACCTGGAGCGTGTAAGTTAGGAGTTGGGAGAGGAAGGGTAGAGAGCCATGATTAGGTTCATAGCACTGTCCAGGACACTCCCTTGACTCACTTCTTGAAGGTATGCATTTTTGTAGTGTGCTCTTGAGATGACCCACCCAAAACGGCGGTGGTTTCATACATCACATAAAAAGACTGGCCACTGATTTTTATGTAAATGATTTTTATTAAAATTACTTATGGGGCCAGGGATTTAGCTCAGCAGTTCGGTGGCCTGCCTTGCAAGTGCAAGGACCCGAGTTCAATCCACAGTACCAAAAAAATTTAAAAAAAAAAATTACTTATGGTTCATTATCACCACTAATATGTTTGTCTCTTTTTTTTTTTTAATAGGTGAAACTTTATTCTACTTTATGGACCCAAATTTTAAAGACTAAATGTTACAGAAGTGTTGAAAGACTGGTAAGTATCCAATGTAATAAATATTAGCAGCCAGAACACTTGATCCTTGAAGCTATATAGTTAATGGCATTAATTAAACCCAACAATAAAAACAGCTGAACTTCCCCTTGGTAGAGATGAACATATAGATTTTTTTTCCGTTAACAGGGATCAAACTCAGGACCTTGCACTTGTGAGGCAGGTGTGGTGCCACTGAGCTAAATCCCTGGCCCAAGATTGTGATTTATTCAGACTATACCATATTGCAGGACAGTTTAAAGAAATGAACATAATCCTGACAGGGAAAAGCAAAGTTATAACTACACATAATATGCTTTTTGTGCAATTTTCAAATAGTTAAAACAGTATTGAATATATTTATAACTATAAACGTTCAAAAATACAAGGACTTGTCATACAGTGATAAACAAGGGTGGAAGATGTGTGGGTACAGATTTCCTGTAACTGTAAGATTTCTTTACGCTCACATGCACACATATGTGTATGCACACACAGATTGACCCGAGCATCTGAGCGCACTGTGACATTAATACTTGCTGGATGTCGGTGCTAGCTACGACCTCATGCTGCATATTTTTTGTATTGTCCTGAGTATATGGATTATTAGAAAATTTTAAAGGAAATACAGTGCTTATCTTTTCCTTTGGGATTCAGAATGGCTGAAAAGAATTTGATTAATTCCAACATTCCTTTTAGGAAGAAGTGAATGTTTAATGTGCAAAGCAGAAGTGCACCCTATCACCCCTACTAGTATTGTTAGTGCTAACTTACATAGTCAGACAGAAGAATGGGAATTTCTTATGAATATTGCACAGAAGAATTCAGAATTTTTGTAAACTGTAGATAATAGGGACTTATTGTACAGTATGGTGACTGTAGTTAATGATATATTCTTGAAAAATGTAGAAAGAGTGGATGTTAAGTGTTGTGACCATAACATAACTGTGAGATAGTGCATTTATTAATTGTCTAGTTTTCACCATGACACAACATACAGAGTCTATCAAAAAAATGTACATACACTTCAGCAGTTCACCATACTGATAAATGTCTGGAAGCTAGTGGCCACCACTTTGAGTACCTCATATAGTTGCAGAGGCCAAAGGTAACTTGTATTAATCTCATGATGTCTCAATAAATTTACTATTAAAATATTTATATTTTTTTCTTTTTCTGATGTATACTTTTTGACAAACTATACAAAACATCATATATGTGATACATACATTATTTTTTAATTAAAAAGTTAGAAAAGAATAAGAGCTCATGTGAAAAGTTTTTCAAGATGTCTAAATGAAACAAAGCAGGTAACAGTCATATGTGTGTGTGTTCATCTTCCTTTTTATAAAGTCACTAATTCCATCATGGGAATCCTTTGCTCCTGCATCTAACCCTGATTACCTCCCAGAGACCTGATCTTCAAATACAGTCAGCATATGAATTGGGAATTAAGTTTCAAACACATGAACATCAGGAGACATGTCAAATTATAATAGTTTCAGTTATATTAATTTCTAAAATGTAGGCCCAATTGTCAGCATACTTTTTAAGCTTTTTACATTTTAATATTTTAAAAGTGGCAGTGTATTTTGTAGCAGATAGTATCTTATAAGCCCTGTCAGAGGCTGCTTCTGAATGAACTTGTTAATAACTATTGAAGTTGTCAGTACTTCAGCTGAGTTCTGTGTGTTTATTGCTACCATATCTATTAGTTTTAAATGTTTTTCTGGCTGCTTTCTGAAACACTGAGGCTCAAGAAAGTACCAACATTAAAATTTACATAATAGTGTTAGCTACTTTGGAAGGAAATCCTGGTAATGGTAGTGTGGTGCTTAAGAAATGCTGCATCATAGATGGTCTTGATGGCCCAGTGAGAAAGTATTGCATCATGGTTTCAATGGCAGTGTTTGGTTTTTCTTTTTCATTGATGCACTTAGTACCTATGTATCCTAAAATCAATGACAGATTAGGTAATATGTGTTAATAAAGTTAGATTAAATATGAACTGAATATAAACTAGGTTGATTTATTAAATAATTTTACTTTATGAAATTTTTCTATATTTTTTATTTATTTATTTTTCTTTCCTGTACCAGGGATTGAACTCAGGACTCTGTGCTTGCCAAAACGGTGTCACAGACTATATCCCAGCCCCAACGATATATACATACATACATATATATATATATATATATGCATATAAAATAGAGATTATTGATGAATTTTGAAATGAGTGATGTACATTTTTTATACTTTTCTTTTTGTTAATATTAAATGATGTAAAAATATTTGTGAAATGAATGTATAGAAGATATATATATATCTAGTCTAGTCGTGGTGAATCTTTGGTACACATGCTGTTTGTTTTTCTTTTAAGACAAAAGATGTTAATGTATGAGTTTTTTCTAAACCAAAACCTCAGTATTCAGGTTTAATTACAGTGTTGGCACTTAGTGGGTTTTGGGTTGCAGTTTGGGCACTTGTCTCTAAAAGGTTCAACATCACTGATCTAGGTTATGTATATCCTATATATGTTGCTCTTTGGGGATATTTGCATATAAACCATATTGTTAATAGTGGTACCTCATTATTGAATTTGATTCAGTTCATCCAGTTTGGTTTGTGACCAGAATTGTGGAAAGAATTAAGTTTGTGAACCAAGGTACCACTATATATATATCCTAAGTATAGAATTCTAGAAGGAATCTAGGAGTTATGCTATTAGGTCCTGGAATGACAAGGAATCAAGTTAGTAGAGAGATTTCTCTGGCCTCTCACTTTCATGTTTAATCTGCTTCTCTTTGCATTTCGTTGGTGTCTTTCTACCCAGTTGTCTTCTTCTGAGCCTCACTTACGTCATAATGACCACCACAGGCCCATTTCATTGTGACCTTTCATCATATAACTAGGTCCCTTTAATTCAAATTCCAGAGAGAGAGAGAGACAGACAGACAGACAGACATAGAAAATGCAAACAAACCTGATTGTCCAGTTCCCCTCTACAAGCTGCACTGTACATCTTTAGCCAACATGTACTTTGACCATTCCTGAATCAGGTGTGCTTCTGTTGATTGCAGCTCAGAGGTTGGCCCTGCCTCTTTGCCGTAGGTGTAGCATATGGCCCACTGCCCTGTCAGCCAGGACTGTGGTGCGGGGTTTCCCCTAAAGCTGGTGAAGTATGACTAGTATGTCTTAAATCTTTTAACATTTCTAGGTTAAAAACCTTTTAAAAGTTCCTGGATATCTCAAAACTACTTTTAGTCTTAAGGTAAAACTCTTTTGAAATTCTAGATATTTTGTTATTCATTTCTCCATTTTGTATAGTTATATATTTTTTTCTTAGTATTTGTATCTATGTTTTTGCCTCTTTTCTGTCTGCTTTGCCTTATTCTTTATTTTCCTTAGCCATAAAATGTCACATTGCCTTTAATTGATTTAGATATGTAGTAAGAAGTGAAGTGGCATAACTTTAGGTCCTAGAATTTGTCAGTATTACTCACCTTCTGGGAAATACCCCCTCTGGCTCCCACACTGTACGATAAGTCCAGATTGTGGGCCCTATCAAGTGAAAAAGTTTATATTTTTAAAAGTCAGCTTATCTGCTTTAAAACACTTAAAGCAATAACAATTGTATAAGTATTTATTTTTATTCTAATTAAGAGAGAAAGTAACTGCCGCCACTCCCTAGCATCTTCTCTCTAGATACCTTCACTAACTTCATCCTGGCTGTGCTCAGGCATTTCAAACCTGGAACTTGTTTCTGCCATGTAAGAATTAGAATAAGGAGTAAGGAGTAAGTTAGAACTATACCTGAAAACTGTGTAGGGTTGGAGACCTATAGCCAGTAATTTTAAGTCAGTCTTTAGTTAAAAACAAACAACAGAGCTGGGGATTTAGCACAAGGTTCTGAGTTCAGTCCCTGGTATCAAAAAAACCCCCAAAACAAAAACCAAAACCAAAGCAAAAAAGACAACAAAACACATAGTTTAAAAGTATACTTGTATTCATCGTTCTAATCTTTTTTTTTATATTTATTATAGCTCGGTCATGAGCACCGACAGTAACTCATTGGCACGTGAATTTCTGACTGATGTCAACCGGCTTTGCAATGCAGTGGTCCAGAGGGTGGAGGCCAGGGAAGAGGAGGAGGAGGAGACACACATGGCAACCCTTGGACAGTACCTTGTCCATGGGCGAGGATTTCTGTTACTTACCAAGCTGAATTCTATCATTGACCAGGTAACATCTTCATCTCAACTTTCCATTAACATATTATAGTTTATTATAGATGATTAATTTCTAGGTTACTTAGGTTTTAAGAGTCTCTGAGACAAAGTCCTTTTTCATATCATTCCAACAAAAAAGTAGATCTGTTTGTAAACATAGTGCTCATTTGGATACTTTTTCAAAAATGTCTGGAATATCTTAAATGGCCTTCTAAAGTGTCTTCACATTTTTTTATTCTAATAACAGTAAAATTATATGATCATTAATAGAGATATAATTCAGAAGCATATGAGTTTGCATTTTCAATAAAGATCAAATATATTTTTGAGAAGTTTAGTATGAATTATATTTAGGGACTTTGCTAGTTCTGGAGTGAAAGCAGAGAGTCCTCTTATGTAGACTAATAACTAGTGAGTCCTTTAGCTTTTACATTTTTTGATTTTGCTATTTCCTTATTATAGAATTAACAATTTTAAAGCTAATTGGGACTAGAGAGTTTTTTAATCTAACCATCTTTGTAGAAATAACTCTATAATACATTGTATTGAAATAATACAAAGTTAATTTGAAGCATGAGATTTATATCTTTATTTCATTTTAGAAGGAAACATAATTATTTTATGAAAGAAAAACTCTAAAGTATGTATTTAGGGAGTAATTAATGTAGTTAGATAATAATACTTCAGTTACCTTGATGAGATAATTAGGTTTCTGTAGCATCAGTATGATGATATTTTTTAACATACTGAGTGTTACTAGCTTTAGGTATGTGCTTAGCTATCACTAGATAAGATTTCTTTGCTATGAATGAATTTTACTGATCAATATATATGAATAAGTATAGAGACTTAAAATTAAGCAATGTCTCATCTTTACTGTATACTAAGGAATGTCACAAATAACAATGAAGAAGCATTTGCTTATTGTGGTATCTACCTGTCACAGAATTTTCCAGAACATGTGAAGGTTTTAAATACTTGTATTATTGTTTATAAATATGATATTTTAAAATACGTGACTGGATGTAATTTAATTTTATGTATTTGCATGATTTTTTATAAATAAATTTTAAAATCAGAAAAAAGTGTTTGATCTGTGCATAGTGACTTTTTGTTTTCAATTTTTGATTACTATGCATACTCTGCTCTTTTCATTTTCTTATCACATATTTAAAAATTCAGTGCAGGGCATTAGAAATATAAAATACCCAGGGATAAATCTGATAAAATATGTGTAATACTTCTGTATGGAATTTTATAAAACATTATTGAGAGAAACGAAAGGAAACCCAAATACATGGAGAACTATAATTTTATTTGTTGAAATATTTGAATTTGTTAAATTTGTTGTAGAGATGTTTTTTCACACTTAATGCATAGATTCCAGTGCAATCTCAATTAAACTCTCAGTTTTTAAAAATAAAAGCATTATCAGGATATTTAGCTCAGTGGTTTTGCCTCTTGCTTCACAAGTGCAAGGACACAAATTCGATCCCTGGTACCAAAATAAACAAATAAATAAAAGAAAAGCATTATCAAGATGGAAATGTAGCTCATAATAAAACAAGTGCCTATCATATGTGAGGTTCTGGATTCAATCCCTAGCATTTCAAAACCCAACCAAAAAACAAAACAAAAACAGCATCATCGAGATATAGTTCACATTATAAACTCACCCATTTCCTGTGTACAATTCATTGGTTTTTAGTGTTGTCCATTATGTGCACCCATCCATCCCCATAGCCAATTTTAGAATACTTTTAATCACTTCGAAAGAAGTCCTATATCCTTCTCTCATCCCTGGCCTCTTCTTCCCTCCTTCCACTTCTAGTGACCACTCATCTGCTCTCTGTCTCTACAGATTTTATGTTTCTCTCTCTCTTTCTCTCCCTCTCTCTTAATTGAGACAGGATCTTGCTATGTACTTCAGGCAGGCCTTGAACTCACTGTTGTAGCCCAGGCTGGCCTTATAGCGATCCACCTCCCTTAGCCTTCCAAGTGCTGGGACTACAGGAGTGTGCCACCACACCCAGCTGTGTTTTCTCTTTTAAGCCATGATATATCATTATATTACTAAGTGACCAAAATCATTTGATCATGACAGTAGTAGTAGTTTTTCTTGTGGTAATATTTTCCAGTCTTTAGTATTAGCTATTCTAATGTTGTTATCTTATTGCAGTTTTAATTTGCATTTCTCTGACACCTCATGATGAGCACTTGTTCATAGGCTTGTTGGCCATTTGTTTATCTTCTTTTGTGAATGTTTGAGTTTTATGTCATTTTTAAGGCTAAGTTATATATTGTGTACTTGCAGTAGTTCTTTGTGTATTCTGGATATAAGTCTGTTATATTGCAAATGTTTTCTTTGTAACTATGAAAAGAGACTAGTTTTTCTTTTTATGTAATGTGATATCATTTAATATATTACTAAATGATTTAAATTATTGATATAGCTGCAATAACTTTTTTTCCTGTGATAACTTTTTTTTTTAATCCCTTCTTTCCACCTACTCACTTTTTGGAATATCTGTAGCAATGGTAGAAGGAGCAGTATGTGTTGTCTTGAGAGTAAAGAGTAAAACTAAATAGCCATTTAAAAAATAGGGCTTTTGTTCTTTATAGGTTCACATTTAGAGATCACAGCTCAGTAAAATTTAACAGATGTTTTAGATGAAATAAAAATAGAACTTAGTGACTTTTGATTGTTTCAATTAGGAAATGCAGAATGATCATTTGAGTCTCTAAGGCAAATTAATTGAACAAGACTTCATCATTTAAGATGGAATCAAAACACGAGACAGAGGGCCATACATTTCAGGAGGAACTTTAGCTTTTGTTTCTGTTTTTCTCATAAGTAGGACAGTTCTTGGGCACTCTGGGGAAGAGGTGATCTAAGCACTTTGCCCATCCACTGCAGTACTTTGGCTTTATTCTGCTTTTTTTTTTAACTGCACATAAATATCTACAATAAAGTGCAATTTACAGATTAGGCAGAGTAAAGGGATAATAACAATAATAAAATAATAGAGCAGTTATCACAATTCATTAAATAACAGCTGTTTAAACATATGAATTAATCATGCATCTTGAGGTCCTAGAAAAATAAAACAATTAGAAAAAAATCAGAGCAGAAATTAATGAAATTTAAAAAGATCAGTGAATTAAAGAACCGTTTCTTTGAAAGAACAAGCACAATTGACAAACCCTTAGACAATCTTTTCAAAGAAGGAAAGAATAGACTCATATCAATGTATTTAGAAACAAGAGAGGCAAAATCAAGATAGACACCATCAAAATCCAGAAGATTATTAGTTAACTATGTCCCAATACTTTATCCAATAAATTGGAGAAATCAGAAGAAATAGATAGATTTCTAGATACCTATGAATTACCAAAACTGAACCAAGAAAGTGTAATAACCCTGAATGATCCATTAATAGGCAGTGAAATTGAGGCAGTAATTAAAAAACCTATCAAGAAAAGTCCAGGACCCAATGGAGTCACTGCTGAATGCTACAAAAACATTAGGGAAGATGTAATGCTGCTAGTTCTTTTTAATGAAATTTAAAGGAAAGGAATACTGCTGAACTCATCCTTGGAATCTAGAATTACCTTCATTTAAAAACCAGAGAAGAACTCAAATAGAAAAGAAAACCATAGGCCAGTCTGTTTAATGAACATAGATGTAGAAATCCTCAACAAAATAATGGCAAACATAATGCACCAAATCATCAAAAGATCATACATCATAACCAAGGAGGTTTCATCCCAGGGATGCAAAGATGTTTCAACGTACACAAATCAATTAATGTAATACATCTCATAAACAGAAGCAAGGAGGACAAAAATCACAGGATCATCTAGTCAATGCAGAAAAAATCTGACAAAATCCAACATCCATTTGTGATTTTAAAAAAAAAAATCCCTAAAGAAAATAGGTATGAGAGGACCTTGTCTCAATCTGATAAAAGGTATTTATGACAAACCCACTGCCAGCATCACACAAAATGGGGAAAAGCTGAAAATTTTTCTTACAAAATCAGGAATAATTTAAGGATGTCCATCTCATTTCTCCTGTTCTCTATAGTACTCAAAACTAGCCTGAGTAGTTAGGCAAAAGAAAGAAAAGGGATCTGTCTAAGAAAGGAAGAAGTCAAACCACATGACCTTTTACATAGAAGACTCAAAAAATCCCACCAAAAGACTCCTGGGACTAATAAACAAATTCAGCAAGGTGGCAGGCAGAATTCAAAATCAACACACAAAAATCAATAGTGTTCCTGTACACCAATAATGAACCCCAATGAGAAAGAAATTAGGAAAGCAATACCATTCACAATAGCTTCAAAAAAATTTAAAACTTACCTAATTAACCTAAAATGAAACTGAAAGAACTCTATGAACTCTATAGTACTCTGAAAGAGATGGTCAAGGAAGATATAAGAAAATGGAAGGATATTCCCTGTTCCTAGATAGGCAGAACCAATATTATCAGAATGGCCATATATACTTCGAAAACTGATATATAGATTTAATACAGTCCCAATCAATACTAACAGCATTCCTCACAGAACTGGAGAAGACTATCCTAAAATTCATATGGAGCCAGAGGAGACTCAGAATAACAAAAGCAATCATAGGCAAAAAGAACAAAGTAGAAGGCATTATAATCCTAGATTTAAGTTATAACACAAAGATACAGTGATTGAAAGCCAAAAGAGCACTGGCTCAAAAAGACATACGGATCTGTGGAACAGAATGGGATGTAGAAACAACCCCACACACTTTGAGCCACCTGATCTTTGACAAAAGGGCCGGAAATATATGCTGGAAGAAAGCCTCTTTAAAAGTAGTCCTGGGAAAACTGGCTAATATACATGTGTAATATGGAATCTAGACTCATATCTCTTACCATGTACTAAATAAAATAAAGTCAAAGTGGGTCAAAGAACTAAATATTAAATACACTGAATCTGCTGGAAGATAAGATAGGCAAAACTCTTGAAGACATAA